ATCTGATAAAGCGTATGTATTTACCTGTCGAAGTTTCATCGTTGGCTGACACGGGGTTGCCAGTAGTCCCCAGTGAATCAGCGGAATGATCCCTCGCGGGTTTCCTCGGTGGAACGGCAGGCTGCTTTTTCGTGATTAAATGAGCCAACTTGGGTAGCAATGCCGGATTTTTGCAAACTGTGCCCTTATCAGGCACCGAAATGCTCTCGATAGCTTCTTCGTGCTCGTTCTTCGGCAAAGAGTCGAACCTCTTCGGTGGTACTGGCGGCGCTGCTGAAATTTGTGGATGCAAAATATCTTCGTTGTCTAGCTCGCTCTGGTTCTCCTCGTTATCAACGGCTTCTTGGAAATCAAGAATGCTTCCGGAACTGCTGGGTGAATCACTGGTGGCCAGCAACGTCTCTAGTAGCATCATATCGTTATTTTCGAAGTTGCTGTAAACGTTTTCGGAGTCGGGGCCCTTCGCGAATGGATCGAACTCGAAGATCAGCGATAGACTGTTGTGCTGTCTGCTATCGGCGATGCTAGGAGTTTGGTGATTTTCCTCTAGCGGTGGCTTCCCGGAAGACAAGTTTTCGTACAAAGAATTCTGCACGGACGCTTGGCTCTCGTTAGACCCGGAAGACGTTCTGTCCATTACAGGCACCTCCCGTTCCAATGCGTCCTCCTCCGCGCTGGATATTTTGTCCAACTCTTCGATACCTTCGATCCTGCCCGAGGTTGCGGTATCGTAAAACGTCCAGGAATCGGACCTGGACAGCCTTCTTGTGTCAGTCTTGTCGTAAGGTAGAGACACGTTAACGTCTGAGAGGTTTAAGCTCTGGTCGGAGTCGCTAGCCTGATCACGGGGAAATAGAACTAGATTAGATATCAAGTAAATAGTAACGTTTACATGATTGTTTTTAATTTCAAGCATAGACGACCGGTAAATAAAAACGTTTCGAAATGTTACCGATTTACTTCTATTTTCTGCCGTAATTGTAAAGTTTATACTTCTTTATGGAATTTCCATGACTATTATCATCATCGGTACTTGCCAATGAAAAGGTCGCGAAGGAGTATAAGAATTTACCTGATTCAGCGCGAAACCAAGGAGACTGAACGATTCCGGGAAGTCCCTATCGATCCTGTCGGAAACGGTCGAGCTGATTGTATCGTATCGGCTGCTACCGGACGCGACAGACTGCAACTCATCATAGATAGACTCATCAGGAAGCGGGGGTGGAGGATAGACCGGAGGCGGCGGGCTGCTCCGCGTCCCGGAAAGATCCTCCTCGTTCTTCATGCTCCTCAGATTAGTGTTCAATGGACTGTAAAACGTGATGCTGCTGAAGATATCGTTGGCTGGCAAGGACACGCATCTTTCGTCCACCTCCGTGTCCCCAAACTTCTTCAATCCGTCGGTGTTATCGCGAAACAGCTCGTCCTGGTTCAACGAGGTTAGTCGTCTAGTTAGAAGGTTCTTCACCGATTTCTCTAGCCGCATGCTGGCGTTTCTAGTGCTCGAGATCACCGCGCGACCCTTGGTCGTCACCTTCTCCGAGATTTCGTCCTTCAACTGGCGGGAGCTAGTGCTCAGATTGCGGAAAAATTCATTGTTCGTGGTGCGTGTTTCCGGCGTCGATTTCGTGTCTTCGCTTTTTTCCGATTGACTCGAGTCGCTACTGTGGCTGCTGCGACTGCTGTGATCACTGTGACGGCTAGGTGGAAGGGTTGGCGGAAGGGTTGGAGGAAGGGTTGGCGGAAGGGTTGGTGGATGGGTCGGCGAACGAGTCGGTGGCAGATGCCTCGGCGCAGGCACCGGACGAAGCGGCACCACCGATCTGGGCTTCGGGATCGGTTTCACCTCCATCTTCACCCAGTGGCTCTCCTCTTCGCCCGTTTCTTTTAACCGAACCAACCAGCCGCGTAGAAGCTGCGCCACATGCTTCGACTCCCTTAACAAGAGCAAGAATAAGGGACATAATGAGAATACTCTTTGCGTCGTTGTTTGCTATAGATTGAACTTAAGTGTAGAGGAAAAGCTGATAATCTGGCCTACCAGTTTTATGATTCAGGTAAACTGACTTGCAAACTTAGATTGTTTTGAATTTTTGCATTACGAAGGTAAGTTATTTTTTGAGCTCTAACGCCCTCTTAACAAGTATCATAAAATATCATCTTTAGTAGCAC